GGCTGTCCAACCTCTTTTTAAAAACTTCCAGTGTTGGAGCATTCACAACTTATGGAGGCAAGCTGTTCTACTGATTAATTGTTTCAACTGTCAGGAAATTTCTACCCAATTCTAAATTGCTTCTCTCTTTGATTAGTTTCCACCCATTGCTTCTTGTTCTGCCCTCTGGTGCTTTGGAGAATAGTTTGACTCCCTCTTCTTTGTGGCAACCCCTGAGATATTGAAAGACTGCTATCATGTCTCCCCTAGTCCTCCTTTCTATTAAACTAGACATACCCAGTTCCTGCAACCGTTTTTCACATGTTTTAGTCCCCTAATCCTCTTTGTAGCTCTTCTCTGCACTCTTTCTAGAGTCTCCACATCTTTTCTACATTGTGGGGACCAAAACTGAGTGCAGTGTTCGAAGTGTGGCCTTACCAAGGCATTATAAAGTGATATTAAGACTTCGCATGATTTTATTAAAATACATTTGATAAAAATGAAAAAAAATCTGATTTAAAATTTTTAAAAATCCAATTTTTTGCATTTAAAAAAAACACATTGATTTTTATCCACCCTGCTTGGTCGTAAGTTCTGTTTATTTTGCACTGAGCTTAATTTGACATAAGATTTGGGCTGAGGGAGTGTGGGAAGTGGGCTTCCATGCCCAAGGCAGGATTAAAACCTGTCCCCCACCTCTCCATCTCCTGATCCAGCACCCTAACCATTAAACCGGTAGTCCTCGATTTACGACCATTGATTCAGTGGTCATTTAAAGTTATAACAGCACTCCAAAAAAAATGACTTATGCCCGTGTTTCACGCTTACAAGCGTTATGGCGTCCCCTTGGTCATGCGATCAAAATTCAAATGCTTGGTCACTGATCCATACTTATGACCGCTGCTGCATCTCAGGGTCACATGACTGCTTTTGCGACCGTCTCAAGAGCAAAACCAACAGGGAAGGAGATTCACTCAACAGCCGGGTTACAAACAACAACTGCAGCGATTCGCTTAACAACGGAGGCAAGAAAAGTCGTAAGATGGGGCAAAACTCACTTAACAACTGTCTCACTTAGCAACAGAAATCTGAGGCTCAACTGTGGTCGTAAATCGAGGACTACCCATAACAGGGTACTGTGCTAAATTTTATATTATTGGCTGAGTGTTATTATACTGAACTGTTGGTTCTAAGAGATAGTATTGCTATTTTTTTAAATAGTTTTGCTGTATATACTTATATAACCTCTTGCTTGTTGATTTCATTGCAAAAGATTCAATTTTCTTGGAAACAATCCTGCCTGTTTAAAGCCAACGTTTCATTATCCAACTTCATTTAATCCTTACAGAAGACAAATACAGCGTACCTGGTTATTTTTATTATCATTATCATACAATCCAACATTGGTATATTCCTGAGGGCCCTGGAAAGAGAGTTGAGCTGAGCGTTAAATATTCACATTTTAATGACATTTTAAATATTTACTCTCCCTCGCGAAAACACTTTTTCTGTCAAAACCCCACCAGTTTTCTCAAGTAAGAAACAAATTGGTCTTACCTTCCAAGTATAAAGAACATTTCCATTTCTTTCCACATTTATTATATGCAGTGTTTCCGAATGATTTCCCCCAGCATCTAAAAAAGGCAAGCATGAATGCATTTCTAAACTCATTCAGTCCAACTGTAAAGGAAAGCCAATTTCTGAAAAGAATATGCAAACATGATATTAAGACTTGAGCAAGCTGAGTTGGAAGGCGGGGTTAAAGGTGTCATCAGTTGGGAATCATTGCGTAGCCACAAGGGACCAAAATTCAGCTCCTCCATGAATTCTTATCTAGTGCCAATTTAGCTTCGATCATCAGTTCACCAGATTCTTCTGCATAGGTAGCAATGCAGGTAGTCCTCGATCTACGACCACAATTGAGCCCAAAATTTATGTTGCTAAGTGAGATGGTTGCTAAGTGAGTTTTCCCCCATTTTACGATTTTTCTTGCCATGGTTGTTATGAATCACTGCAGTGGTTAAGTTACTAACACGGTTGTTAAGTGAATCACTGCAGTGGTTAAGTTACTAACANACGGTAGCAAAATTTTGAGTAGTTTGGAGAACCAGTAGCGGACATTTTGAGTAGTTCAGAGAACCGGCAAATGCCACCTCTGACTGGCCCCAGAATGGGGAGGGAATGGAGATTTTGCAGTACTCTTCCCCTGCCACGCCCACCAAACCAAGCTATGCCCACCAAGCCACGCCCACAAAACTGCTAGTAAAAGAATTGAATTTCACCACTGCTGCATTGTTTTTACCATCAAGTTTCTCCACTATCTTGTTATTAATGACCTTCCTGTTGTCTTTTAATTGCAGATTTCAACATTCTGATTTTATGACTGTTGTCATCACAATCTGCCTAGAGTCACTTTATTGTGAAATGGGGCAACTAATATAAATGTAATAATATTTTAAGCCTGAATGAGTTTTATTATTAAAAGACAAGTCCCATTTGGGAGCCATATGTAGTACAGATAGTCCTTGACTTACAACCACAATTGAGCCAAACATTTCTGTTCCTAAGTGAGACATTTGTTAAGTGAGTTTGGGCCCATCTGACAACCTCTCTTGCCACCAGAAGTTCTGAAATTAATAACATGGTCGTTAAGTGAGTCTGGCTTGTCAGATGGTCGCAAAAGGGAATCACGTGACCCCCGGGACACTGCAACCGTCGTAAACGTGAGTCAGTTGCCAAGCATCTGAATTTTGATCCCGTCACCCTACAGATGCCACAATGGTCGTTAAGTGTGAAAAATGGTGACGAGTCACTTTTTTCGTTTTGCAGTTGTAACTTTGGTCACTAAACGAATTGTCGTATGTCGAGGATTACCTGTACAAAGCTGCTGATTAGGGTTAGTAATTTTAAAAAAATTACAATGTACTTAGTGCTTCTCAGCAATGTGCTACCATACAAAATAATTTCAAGTTTTGTGGGAAAAGGTGAGTTAAAATCGCTTACTTGGACTCTGATGCAGCTATCCACCGCCTTTAAAACTTTCACATTATTAAGCGGGTGAATTTCAATTAGCAAGGTCAGGCATTTAGGAACTGGGATTAAAAATAAATACAAAGAAGAGAATATTAATCCAAAATTCAGTGGTTTGTGAAGTCTGTTTAAGTGCATTTAGGTAATTCAAGTACCTGTTTGAAAAAGGAGTTTTCTCTCTTCCTGTGTTGTCTGAAGAAAACTGATGGCTGTTTTATTTTTTTTAAAAAAGATATTGAAAATGTAAAGCATTGAATAGCAATAGCATTTAGACTTATATACCGCTTTACAGTGCTTTTACAGCGCTCTCTTAAGCGGCTTACAGAGTCAGCCTCTTGCCCCCAACAGTCTGGGTCCTCCTTTTGCCCATCTCGGAAGGACGGGAGGCTGAGTCAACCTTGTGTCTGGTGAGATTCGAACTGCCAAATTGCAGGCAGCTGGCAGTCAGCAGAGGTAGCCTGCAGTACTGCACTCTCACCACTGCGCCACCGAGGCTCAGTTAACCATCAAAGCTGACACCAGCTAGAACATAGAACAGGGGTCTGCAACCTTAGAAACTCAAAGAGCCATTTGGACCCATTTCCCACAGAAAACACCGGGAGCCACAAAAACTGGATGGGCGCGGCCAACTCAATGTCACCCCCACCCAGTCACATGACCTCCCCCAGCCACGCCTACTCAGGTTTCATGGCGCTCTGTTTTTCTGTGAGAAATGGATCTCGTTCTCGTTCTTGTTCTCTCTCTCCTTCCCTCCCTCCCTCTCATTTATGTTTTTCTTTCTTTTTCCTCTCCCTCTCTCTTCTTCCTTTCCTCTTTCTTTCCTTCCTTCCTTCCTTCCTTCCTTCTCTTTCTTCCTTTCCTTCCTTCCCCTTTCTTTCTTTCTCATTGAGTACGATAGCAAATCCAAAATAAAGTTATTAATTGTGGGAAATTGCTTCTTGGGAAACTTTTCATACTGAATTCTAAGTTGATAGAGGCTGGCAAAATTGAACTAACAGCAATAGCATATATATTTTGATTTTTTTGTGTGTGTGTCTGGCAATATAATAACATTATCCAAAATAAAAAATAATCTTATTTTCAGATGCATTTTTTTTTCCATCTCTGTTATTTCCTTAAAAATAAAATCAGAGTTGCCTCCAATTTGTGCCTTTTTGCAAACTGCAGTTTTCTTGACAAGATATCTAGCTTGCCATTGCTTTCGTCATAGGTCTGTTTCTCTTTCTTTCTTTCTTTCTTTCTTTCTTTTCTTCTTTCTCTTCCTTTCTCTCCCCTTCTCTCTGATTTCAAGTCTTGTGGGAAAAGGTGAGTTAAAATCGCTTACTTGGACTCTGATGCAGCTATCCACCGCCTTTAAAACTTTCACATTATTAAGTGGGTGAATTTCAATTAGCATTTCTGATTTCTTGCCTTCTCTTTTCCCTCTCATTCTCTCCCTCCAGCTCTTTCATTTCTCTCCCCCCTTTTCTCTCTCTGATTTCTTTCCTCTTTTTTCCCTCTCTCTCATTCGCTCCCTCCAGCTCTCTTTCATTTCTCTTTCTCTCTTTCTCTCCCCTTTTCTCGCTCTCGTGGATAAAATTGGTTTTTGAGATTTTGAAGGATAGAATACACATCTAACTAACAAAAGCGCACATAAGGGAAAGTTAACTTTCGAGAAGCAAGCTATCATTCCCCAGCAAATTTCCAAACACCAGAAAAACTAAGTTGCCTGAATTAGAAAGAAGAGCAAAAAGGGAGCGATTGTCACGAAATCTGTCAACAACAAGGGGGTTCATGTCAATATACAACATCCCTCAAACTGGGGGACTTACCCAACAAGGTCTTTTCATGATTGACGGAGCAGCTGATCACACACAGGTCTTTTTCGAAAGTGTACAAGTGCTGTTGAAAAACGAAATGGGAGATAACCTGTATTACAAATCAGGGTTCCCAAATCAAGCTAAACCACAAATGCACCACACTTGGGTTTAGCTTAATGGGAGGTGTGCACAATTCAGGCCAAGGTGGATAAAAATCAATGATTTTTTTTTTTAAGTGAAAAAAAATATCGGATTTTTTTAAAAAAATTAAATCGGATTTTTATTTTTATCAAATTTATTTTAATAAAATACTTTTGGAGTAAAAAAAAATCTATCTAAAGATAGTTTTCTATTTAAGATATATTAATAATCTCATTATAGGGACGCGGTGGCTCAGTGGGTAAGACGCTGAGCTTGTTGATCAGAAAGGTCGGCAGTTTGGCGGTTCGAATCCCTAGCGCCGCGTAAGGGAGTGAGCTCCCATTACTTGTTCCAGCTTCTGCCAACCTAGGAGTTCGAAAGCACGTAAAAATGCAAATAGAAAAATAGGAACCACCTTTGGTGGGAAGGGAACAGCGTTCTGTGCACTTTCGGTGTTGAGTCATGCCGGCCACATGACCACGGAGACGTCTTCGGACAGCGCTGGCTCTTTAGCTTTGAAATGGAGATGAGCACCGCCCCCTAGAGTCAGGAACGACTAGCACATGTGTGCAAAGGGAACTTTTACCTTTCCCTTTAACAATTTTGTTTATTCAGCATGAAATGGAACTTAGTTATGTAGCATGAGGCGGTAAGAGCCGAGGTGGCGCAGTGGTTAAATGC